TTATCGATTGAGCCCAAGACAATGACGTGAATCTTCCATCTTTCTCTCGCATTCGTCTGTGTGATAAAGTTGTAATCGAGTTGAGAAGCGACGACATGTTTGCGACATAGAGCTGGTTGAGAGGCGGCGACGGGATCAGGACTTACAGAGATCCGAAACTTGTCTTTTTAGAGAGACAAAGATAGAACTGTAACAGACAAAGCACATTTATTGCGACAGTCCCGATCAAACAAATATGGCGTACAATAAACTCATCTCGCGATACTGTCACGATCAAGTTGGTTGGTTGCCAACCATGGGATCGCTATGCACTGTGAAGAGAATATCGCAATACAGTCACGCTTGGCTTCAACCGGGCTATTTGGGAAAATGTGTTTGAGGCCCTACAACTGCCTTTGTGACTCGCAAAACAATTGTAATTTGAGCTAACTGGGAAGCGAAGATTGGATTTCAAAGACAAGGTTTCACCATTTTGATATAAAAAAAAAGTATACTAAGAGAGATGACGGCGAAAAAAGTAGATAATTTGGAGAAAAAATTGGAGGAAAAGACAAGTCAATTTAATCCGGGATAAAAGAAAGGTTCTCCACCATATAAAGAAGGGTTTTCTCGATAGACGATAGGTTTTATTCCATTAAAAATTGATTCAAGAGCTTGAAGGAGATGATAAGGAAGTTTATTGAGATGCAATTCAAGACTCCAATGACAGCTCAATTTGTAAATCCTAACCAAAGGTTGATCAGATATTCCGTGGTCAAATTGAAAGGAAAGGAGATTGAATGAGAGGAACACTATGAGGAAAGCATCTCACATCAAGAAGCCCCTCACAGGGCTCTGATTTGGGGTGAATTAAAGATTTCTGTTGGAGGCAATTGGGCCAGAAACATGTTGAAGATGTTATGCTAGAGGTATGGAGGAGCACGAAGAAGAAAGAAAATAGAAGGGGGAATGTGACTATGGTCAAAGAATGGAGTTTTACCCTCGATATATGGGGGGAAACAACAAAATGAGAGGAAGTTGGGGTTAGGGTTAGAAAGCTGAAGATGTCGATATTCAAGGGAGAAGACACACATGGGTGAGTATATGGTGGAGCGATACTTCATGGTTAATATGTTAGATGGTGAGGAGAAACTTATGGTAGTAGGGTTATGTTTGTAGAGGACATCCCTAACTTGGGCTTGGTGGAGGGAGGCTAGATGCTCGATCCGTTTGTAGGAAGAACTTAAGGATTATTTGTCGAAACGTTTCCAAATCACCTACATGAGAAATTCTATGCCTTGACTCATGAGGGGACTGTCATGGAATATAAGGAGAGATTCGAGCTTTATTGGGACGATTGAAAGGGATTTCTGAAATATGATTGGAGGAAAACTTTATGAAGGGCCTAAAGCTCGACATATGGGCATGACTCAGACTATTGAGACCATAGGGAATTGGGGAGATGATGGAGATCGCCCAAATGGTGGAATGAACTACAAAAATCAGATAAATATGTCCAACAAAAGAGGCACCATGGGAGGATGCCACAAGAGTACCTTGACCATCATGGCACCGAGGACTTAGACGGTGTCATTTTAGAAGGAAACACCGAAGGAGAGGGATATGGGGCCCGTTCCGAGCGCAAATTTAAGTGTCATACAAAGGCAAACGTGCAAGACAAGTGAGCATAAGGATTATGTTTTCTGTATGGTGAGAAGTATGCCCTAGGCAATCAGTTCAAAGATCACACACATTAGGTCCTTTTAGCTTGTGAACTGGATGAGATAGATAGTGAGGAGTCAGGAGAAGAAGCGGTGGAGGAGGAACACCTTTCTTTTTTCTCACATTGAGAGCAAGGGGTTTTTTGTTTTTTTTGGAGAGGAGAATTGCTATAGTTGGCTTAGTCTAAGGGCAATTTTGTCTTTTATTAGCCTAAGGGCAACTTGATTTTTATTATTATTAGGGTTTGGTATAAAGAGGTCATAATAGGTTAAGGATTGGGTATGCATGAAATTATTGTTTTGAGTATTAGATTAGAGTTCTCTCAAATTGTAGTAATTGAGAGAGATTGCCTATCTCTCAAATTGAAGGTGTTTATCTTTGTATTTGTGTTGAGTTATTTTGATTATTAAAGAAATTGCTTTGCTCTAATTTCTGTGGAAAATCATATCAATTCGTACATCAGACCGTATTGAGTGTCTCACCATAATTTCTCAATCAATTTGTGAGAGAAATGAGTTATTTTTTGCTGGTGTCATTTCAGTTGACCACTTCTTGCTTGAACTATAATTTTAAGATGAGCGACTCATCTCACATGGCTATATTGGAGGACACCCCACCACTATATTCTTTGGCATTGTTATTAGGGGCATCATTATGGGTTGATGATTTTGGTTCGAGTCTAATATGAAGTTAATTTGATCCAAAAATGCTTGACCCGAACCCACTTTATGAAAAGTGATTCATTTATATGGATCTTACATTTTTTTGGCTTAACATGACACAATTAACACAAATGTTGACCCATATAACTTATCACAAACCTTCTAACATTAATTCAAATAGTAATTGGGTTAATTTCAAGTTGATTGTAGGTTATTTTGGTAAAATCCAAACTTAAGCCTTAATAATAAATGGATCTATATTTTAGATCCAAACTCATTTCAAATAAAATTCGTGTCAACTTTATCTGAATTTCTCGTGTTAAGTTTTGTTCAGGTTATTGGTTTGTGTCATTTATTGGCACCACTATTTATTTTTAGAAATGGAGATAGGTCCTCCTTGTCTATTGGCCCAAGCAAAATTTATTCTCCATAACAATACTTATTTCCCATCCACTTTCCACATTTTAGGGAAGAATTTAAAGTGTAGTATGCAGCATTTTTTTATGTGGTTAGGTGTTAACAAAATTTACTAGAGCCTTTGGGTTGCTGAAATAAAATGCAATATAAAATGTTTGCAGAATACTCTGATTACAATGTATTTGAAATACTTTTAAATACTTTTGAGTTGTTTGGTTCTTTGGTTCGTTGTAAAATAAATGTAGGACTTTGTTTTTTTTTTAGTTTGAAGTAGATTGAAAACAATGTATTCACTTAGGTGGCGGGCAATAATGTCGGTGGTGGCTACTTGCCTATAACATTTTACATGAATGATATAATTCAAATTCGGTCAAATCTGTTGAAATCCTAAATTTCTGCCAAATTGAATTACGGTGTAAACTTCAAATACATTCAAACTTTATGCTGTATTTGTAAAGTTTCGTACCAAACACATAATTTTCTCAAATTCATGCATAAGAATTACAATAAACCACTTATTCACTCAATCAAATACCCCTTTGTGAAAGAAAGTGTCATTACAATTTTTTTTTGTCTTATTTTTATTTTTATCAAATAAACCCTTGTTGGATGGTTTTTGGGCCTTCTCTTTTATGAAAATCATCATCATATTGCTTTGATTGAGAATAATTGGGAACATGAATATTTCATTAAAATTTAAAATCCTTAAGATTGACTCCCGAAATGATGGCTTGAGATTAGAACTTTATGGTGTACACTTGCACAGATTATTTTTATTGTGTCCATTTCTTCTGCATTCCTCGCCAAGTAGAATTGTTGATTTTTTAGTTGCTAGAACATTCCTCAGGTTGTGTCCGGTTGTTCATTCATCTTTAGATGGACATTGCACTATGTTAGGGCATGATGGCTTAACTTCAGCTGGGATAATCAACTTCCATGGCAATATTATGTCATATGCGGTGAAATCTCCAACTAGTCAATGCATTCATCTTGTTTTTTTACATCACTTTTCTGTAAGTGGAATCTCCACTATGGCTTGTACTTAAAATGGTTGTATTCTTCTTTCACGAGCTTCATTCATGTTTGCATCTGGGAGGGAAGGAGGAAGAATATGACTTACTTCGCTGATGTTTTTTTTTGGTGATCCTCTTCCACTACATCATTGTGATCATCTGCTATGCCTGGATAGCCACTTAACAATTAGAATCCTTGTTATCCATTGATTGTCTTTATGTTTCTTGCTCTTTTTTTTCTGTTTTGGCTTTTGATGCAATTTCCATGGATCGTTCGATACCAACTTGATTCGTTCTATACCCTTATTGTGGAGTTTAATCGTACTGTTAAGATGTTTAAGGATTAGCATGCTAGTTTTGTCTGTATTGAATAGCCTAGTTCTTGTTTCCATAAATCTACTAGTGTGATGATGCATCTGTTACATATAGCCTAGTTCCTGTTTCCAACGTTTACTGCATATTCTTTCTGTACATGACTGATGGTTAGGCTGACAAGATGTGATCTGGCTCTGGTCTTAGTTCTGTTTTTCAGCAGCAGAAGCTGTATCACTTTCCAAATGAAACTTTACACAAAAATGTTTGCTTACCCTTGGTGGAGCTATCACTGGTGTTGAAATCCAGTAGTATTTATTTTCTATATGATAGCCTTACCATTTTTTATATTATTAATAATCAGTTTCGTGTTTCACATATGCAGCATTGTGTCTATCATACTTATCATATTTCTACCTCTGAAATGGCCTTTGTCTTTACAGATTTTTTTTTAGTTTTAACATACTTTATTTCGTGATATAGTTGGTGTAGCTCCAGTGGTGGACAAGATTAGAGAGGGTCGTCTTAGATGTTTTGTTTACCTTAAACGTCAAACATCTGATGATCCAATTAGGAGAGTAGATGTTTTAGATTTGACTTTTATTAAGAAAGACAGAGGTGGCCGACACTTGAGCATATTGTATTAAAAATGATTTAAATCTATTAAAATTAAATGAAAATATGACACTCAATAGGACACAACAGGGAAAAACTATTCATGTAGCCCCCCCACTTAGTGGGAAAAGGTTTGTTGTTGTTGTTGTACTACTTTGCATCAAGCTAATTATGAAATATGTTCGCTGTTCGGGCTTTGCTTTTATTTCATTATATGTTGTGCCTAAGTACCTCTGAATGTGTTATATATCTCTGTATTCTCGTGAAAACAATCAAACAGGAAAAACATTTGAGAGAAATTGTGTTGAAGGCAATGGGACAGGCAATAAGCAAAGCTGTAGCGATTGCTGAGATTTTAAAGGTTGGTGATAGTTATACTTCAAGTTTTTTATTACATTTTTTTCACTATGAAATAGCAATTGCTGGGAATGCTGACCTATTACGTTGAGTACAGAAGAGGATTCCTGGATTGCACCAAGATACTAGTATTAGCTCTGTCAGTATTACTGATGTTTGGGAACCAATTGAGGAGGGCCTTGTTCCGTTAGTTTCTCATCTCACTTTTATTTTTAAGAAGTAATTCAACCTAGTTGAAGCCGAAGCAAAAACTCTTTTATTCTATAATCTTCAAGTTTCTCTTATGCAGATTGGAAATGACTAGGCATGTCTCAATGATTTCAGTTTCTCTTTCAACCAGGCAGTTGAACAAGAATTCTCCTGGGTAATTCATTTGGTAACTCACGCATTTATATGATATTGCGCAATGATTTTGTTAGCCTTTATTGCCAGTGACCTTTCTTGGTATGAAACATAAGTAAAAATATTTTTTTTTTATTTTTTTATTTTTCAGGTACCAGCCTCCCTTGCATGTAGAACAGCCAAAACAACAACAGAAATATCAGCAACCTCAATATTTTCATCAACAGCAGCAACCAAGACAACCACCAGCTCAATTTATTGATGGTAAGCATTCTAGATGCTACAAGTTTTATTAATTGGAGACCCTCTCGAGCATAATATGCTTATTATTCTTTTTCATATTTTGGTAATTTATTTATCTTAATGTTTTTTATTGATGCCAAGATTCATATGCTCGAGGACGTGGTCGAGGTAGAGGAAGAGGAAGGGGTTGGGGAAGAGGTGGATATGGTGGATATGGAGGATATGGAGGACATGGTGGATATGCAAACAATCAGGGATATTCAAATAACCAAGGCTATGCAAACAATCAAGGCTATGCCAACAACCAAGGATATGCAAACAATCAAGGCTATGCAAACAATCAAGGCTATGCCAACAACCAAGGTTATCCAAATCACCAAGGTATTTATTGGTTTTTTTTTTTCTGATTTGCAGCCATGGCTACTCTAATATGGTTATGCATGTGGCTTGGTTACCTGATCCAATAGGCTTGAGGTTCAAAGCTGAGTAGTTAATTTTCTATTATTAGCTGCTTGTCTCTTTGAGTTCAATCATTATGTTGTTGATTTGCTTCCTTATATTTCCAACTCAACCTTTAATCAGTTCCGGTTTAGTGTATATTTGTTTATTTTATATGATGGAAAGTTTACTTTGCCAATGTAGATTTTTTGTGGGAAGTGGAAGTGGAGGAATATTCGTTGCATGCTTTCTAATTTAAATAATAAAATTTGACCAGTAGAAAGTCTAACATATTTATTTAGATCGGAGCATTCTTTTTTTTTTTCCTGAGAAGTTCAATTTCATTATTTCTCATATAGAATGCTTGATAGTCCCTTAAAATTTAGGGATAGCACACAAGTACAATTTCTGAAATGTGAACCTCAAAGCCTCATTTCTTCACTTTCAAAAAGAAGAATTCTAACAATTTGTTCTGCTACTTTGACGATTGTCAGTGAACGAACATGATTTTGTAATTCTGTATGGTTTGGCTTAATTTTCTGTTATTTTTGTGATAGAAAATGGTGGCTGGAATAATAATTGGGGTCGCGGTGGTGGCCGTGGAAGAGGAGGCTGGGATTATCGTGGTAAGTTCATTTATTTGCAGTAAATTTGTAATTGAGAGTTAGAATCCTTTGCACGTCTGGTTTTGACTTTTATTGTTCTCCAAGACAAGAAATAATTTAATCTTTTTCTTTAAATGTGAACACATACTTTTTTTAAAATTTTTCTTGTGTGCAATGCATATATAAAGCCATTGTTTCAAGAGTTTTTATATTGCCTTTATGGTACTTGCTATGAGGATAAAAGTGAGCACCATAGCCATTTACCTTGTTGATTTAGTTGCAATTTGGATACCGATTGTGAGGAAAGTTAGCTTCAAGGATTATGTGCATCGCTAGGAACCATATACCTTAATGGTTGGATCCATACATAATGGGATTTCTAGGGTGGAAATTTCCCAACCTATCCTTTGTGACTGCTTGAATAGCAAGGCTAACTTGTCCTTCTAAACCTTGGAAAGGTGCTATGAGAAAACTGAAGATGGAAGTTTCTTTGCATATATAGGTGCTTCTGGTTTGCCAAGATTCTCATAAGATTCTAATGCATGCCCAATGTTTATTTGTTTAGAGCTGTTATTAGCTCTTTATTTTTATAAATCCTTTATCAACAATGAAACCTTTGGACTCATCAGTAATTTTAACAATAGCTTTCTCTGAGCAAAGATAGTATGTCGAGAAGACTTGAGAGCTTCCAGTCATGTGTTCATTTACACTTGAATCAATGATCCGTGGACTAAAAAGGGCAAAAGAAATGAGCACCATAAGATTGGTACCTTGACAAACATGGGAGGTCGACGGGTCGGAAGAGAGTGGACTAGATCTAAGTAGCTTGATTAAATGCTCCATTTGACTTTTAAGAGAATTGGAGGGATTTTGAATCATTCCAGTGAGATGAACGAATTTACCACACCCTTTGATAAAAAAGAACATTAATTGTGACCATTGAAAAAAGTTACTATCGTTTAGTTTATGATTTGTGATCAAGAAGTTTATGTCGTTTTCCTGTTCTTTGGCCTGCAGAGGAACGAATGCTGGAATTAATCCTCCGGTGGAATTAAGAACATCTTTTGATGAGGGCCCAGTGCTAGAGGAGTCCGCTGTGACTATGATTGAGCCAAACAAGTTGTTGGGTTGTTGAGGCATCGTAAGGTTTCGGTTGGACTAGATCTCCTGAACGACTGGAAGAAAGTTTGGGATGGATTATATCTCAAGATTAGAAGTGTCAGTTGAGGCTTTGAAACCTAGAAGGAGACCGAACAATTAAGTAGAACAACATGAATTTTGGGGCAGCATAATCTGGGCGGCTCGGTAAGGGCAGTTCCAGTTGGACCTGCCAGAAATTGGCTGCTCGGCAGAAGCTGGGTGGCTCCCATTGAACGACAGATCTAGGGGTGGCAGAAGTTGGGCGACTTCCATTGGACGACAGACCTAGGCAGCTTGGTAGATTTACTCCCCATGCTATTCTCTTGAATGTAGTAGAGTCCAGCTACTTTCTTAGTAGTTTAAATCATCCTTCCCGAGCGACGATCCTGAAAAACAAAACTATTAGAAGAGAAATTAGCAATACAATCAATATCATTCAACTTGTTGATAGATAACAAGTTACATTGCATCTGAAGAACATATAACATGTAAAACAATTCTAGAGTTAGATTTGTTGTCACTACAACTGACCATTTACCAGAAATAGAACTATAGTAGCCATCGACAATTCTAACAGTATTCTTTCCAGAGCACGGATAGTAAGTCGAGAATACTTGTGAGCATCCATTCGTATGATCTGAGACACCTGAATCAATAATCCATGGATTAGAGGCGGAATAAACCGTGAAAGTCATAGGAAGAGTATTTTGTTGGATTTGGGAGGTTGACAGGCTCATAGAGACTTGATGAGCTCCAAAAAGCTTGATCAATTGCTCCATCTGGTTTTGCAAGGATTTAGAGGATTCCAAGATGTTCTATGTAGGAGTCGTCGGTTGAGCCGTGGTAGGGTCAGTCGTCGCCTTGACTCTTGGTAGTAGATGATTTGGGTGAAGGTTTATATACCGGCTTACCGTGAAGTGTCCAACCCTTATCTTGACTGTGGTTAGGTTTGTGGTTCTGAGCCATCAATGAATTTTGGTAGGATCACAATAAATGAATACAACTGCAAGAAATAAAATCTCTGCAGGGAAGACCGATGCTGGACAACTGTAGGACTCCTTGCATAACCAGCAGAGACAGAGGTACCACTGGACTTGCAGCTGCTGGAATGGAGGATCCTGCGGACATGAGAAGACTGTGGCTGCTGGAACTGGCAGGGGGCATCACCGGTACTAGTAAGACTTGGGTCGGCTTGAAGGCCTCTTAGGATAAGCAGCTGGAATTAACGGCACCAAGGTCTGGAAGGCCACCTGGGATTAGCTGTTGGAATCAATCAGTGGAAAATGCTACGGAACAGGTGGCTGACAGAGCAGCAAAGCAACAACATTGGAGAGGCAGCCGACAAAACAACCGACCAGTGACTGAAGGAAAACGGCTGAAACCATACAGGTTACAGCAGCCAAACAGTGGCAAAGCAACAACCGAACTGGAAAACGGCTGCCGGCAAATGCGGGATACAGAAGAAAATCTACTGCTGGAACCGGGAGAATGGCTGCTTGCTGTTGGTTCCCCGTATGCGGCTGCTTGGAAACAGAAGGTAATGCGCGGCTTGTAGAACTAGGAAAAATGGTAGCGGGAAAATGACAGTAGGCTATGAAAAAAACTGCAGTAGAAAAATCAGAAGAGGAATCTATTGGCTGCTTGAACAGGCAGAGGAAGCCGGCGGCTAGGTGGCAGCTATTGGAATTGGTAGAGGTCGGCGGTTGTTGGATCTAGGCTTAGGCTCTGATATCATGTTGAGATTTGGAATAGAGTAGCATGGTTCCCATTGATACAAAGAGGGGTATTTAAACCCTTACAATGGACTCAAATAAGGAAAAAAATAAAAACACAATCAAAGAAATAAAATCAGAATAATGATGAAAAGAAAACTACATAATACATAATAAGAATAATTAATATTAGAATCCGATTGTTACATTAGGCTTGCTCAGACTTCTAGAAGGCCGCAATCTGACAAAATCACTTATGTTGACTAATGATGACTTGAGCTAGTTATTTGAAGTGGTAATCAGCTATCATTTTTTAATCATCGGTTTCGAATTGAGATTGGGGTTTTCTTAAATTCATTTACGATTTCATCATGATGGTGCACGGGATAAAAAAAATGGAGCTGATATAGATATTCCATAGCTTGAATTACAAAATATATAAAACTTTTCATGTGATGAGCTGAAAGTAGACACTCCTAAAAAATTTATATTCTCAATTTATATTCTACACCGCTAATAATACTATACGATCAACAGGTTGCAACATGTATTGTTTTTGTTTAATTTGATGCTAATCTTCCGGTCTGCCTGCCTGTTCGTAAAATTTAAATACTTTGATAACTTTGGTTATTAATCCCCTTGTAATTTACCATTCACGTGAATTATTTCTTGTAGCTGGTTTGCTTCCCCTTTTTCCATTATGACTCTATCTTGATGACGGGTGCTGTATTCTCTGATTATTACTGGTTTTGAATATATGGCTTACTGGAGAGATCTTTAGTGCTTTGAATCTCATACTGTGCAGAGGCACATTAAGCACTTGTGGAACTGAAAAAATGTTTCTAGTGTTCGATACAGAAACAAATCCTTTGTCTGTTTGAACAATAAACAGCTGCCAGTGGGTGTTTGTTTTTTCTCATGTAAATCCTCATGAGTATTTCACCAATTTTTTTGACGAATATTTCAAAATAGCTTTTACTAGACTATAACAATTCAAACACGCCTGCTTCATACAGTATTTATCTTTCATCTATGGGGCATTTACATACATAACTCTGATTTCCTATGCATTAAACACCCAAATCTTTCACATCGCATCAAAATACCTCTATTTTAAATTTTAGAAAGCGAAATACACATTTTCATGCATAAGGTGAAAATTGAAGTTTACGTGTTCGTGTTTGATATGTAAATACATATTTTATATATATGCAAATCTTAGTTTTTTCATGTTTTTATGTAGCCTGTGTATCTTTCCTAATGTCTATTCTATCGTGACACACAGGCACTGGATATGAACGAGGCAGGGGAGGCGGTGCGAGAGGCTATGTTCGTGGCCGAGGCAGGGTGGGTGGCCGTGGGAGGGGAGTTTATGCCTAGCAATATAGAGTATCTCTAGTTTGGGCTTCAAAAAAAGAAAAAAAAAAGAAAAAAGAGGTGATCTAAGAACTTTCTTGCATCATATTTGAGATATTGCGCTATCGTTTGCTAAGGTTTTCTTGCTAAGGGTGATGATTTTATTTCCAGTCTTAATTGCAGAATATTAAGCCCCTGTTTGCTCTTATATTTGTCTCCATGGGTTTGGAAAGCATTAAAAGCATATGTAATGGGTTTGATCTTTATCCCCCATCACCTTTTATTAGTTTTTCCCTCCCTTGCCTGTATCTAGTGTCAATTCCATATGTGTATACTGCTAGAATTTTAATGTTTTAACTGCCGTGCTTTATTTGTTGATTGTTTACATCGCTAGATGTCTTTTCCCTGGCTTGTTTTGATGCTCATGTATCTATCAGTTTAATTTTGATTTTTTACTTGCATACATGACCTACTTGTGCATGAAAAGATGTATTTCACCTTTAAGATGTGGTATAAATGTAAAAAGTCTCGGTGTTACATATGTAAATATATAGGAATTCAGTGGTATGTATGTAAATGCCCCTAATTTTTTCTGAACCCAAGTAAACGCGCAAATCCACTTGTATGTGAAGTTAAGCTATGATGTTGTGATTGTAATTGTAAGAGCTTGAATCGCTCCGAAGCTGTTTGGTGATCGTAACACTTTTAAGGGTCCATTTGAGGGGAAATATTTGCGTAAGTAAGACGTACGCAGCACTGCCTATGTCGGAAATTATTCAGAGGGTACAAATTGGTTATATCTGCGTTATACCCTTCTGTAACTTCCCTGTAACTTACCTGTAACTACCGGAATTATAGAAGCGCGGAACTTATTTGTAGGTAAAATTATGGGGTACGCTTATAATTATTAATCTGCCATGGTCTTACAATTAGGTTTTTTTAAAAGCTTCAGTCACACTTAACCTATGTTAAATTAGACATTTTATGAAATTTATCTCCCAAATTCCAACCATCCATGACTTTTACTACATTTATAACCTCTAAGTACGAGGCCGCATAAAACCATGCAAAAATAAATTAGACTTTGTAGGCAATGGCGTTACTCTCGCTAACTGTACATAATGGCCCAACCTCTGGAGTTAATTCTAACCTAAAAATGAACCAAGGAAATAGCGCGTAGTCTTCGTACCTCATCAATTAATTTCATGTTAGTAAATGCTTATAGCTGCATAAAGCCGCAGTTAATATATATCTCCTTTATTCTTTTCGGGCAATTTTAAAAACATTTTTATTCAATGTTTATATATATATATATATTTATTTATTTGTATATTTTATTTTTTTAAAATCAATCAGTTTATTATTAAAAACACTCAAAATATTTAAAAGTTATTTAAACTATTTTTAAAAATGTATATATATATATAAATGGGGTATTTATATATATATATAAGTAAATACATCAAAATTTATAAATTCTATTAAAGAAAATAAAAATGGGGTATTTACATGGATACCTCCCAATTATTTGTCTAAATCTTCCAAAAAAGTATATTGCTTATGCTATCAAAACATTGACTACATTTTTATTAGGCTATATTTTTAAAAAAAAAATCAGATATTTTTATCATGGAAAAATGGTTATTTTGGGATCGAACTTTCTAAGATGGGCAAGGCTTGATAAAATTTATGTATGATTTTCTCAAAGGAAAATAGTGGACTATAGCTTTCCAAAAAATTAGTTTTTTAATAATAATTATTTTTTAGCTACTTTATTATAGATAATTATTGCCGCGGAACTACACAAAGTCATAAATAATCGGCACCACTTTGCAACCAATGCGTGTTTGAAGTGGTGGACCAAAACAAAACATGTTGGCGAGAAAGATTTACAAACATAACGCTCAAATCCTATGTATTCACATATCTAATACCTAAAGTTCATTATTATTGAATCCCGAATCACACACAAGAAATAAAGTGCAAGACAGGAGAGAGAGAGAGATGAAAGTGTTTTGACATTTCCCGACATGTTTTTGCTAATATTGTGTAACTCCTTATTCATAGAATGATTCCCTATTTATAAAGAAAGTGGGCATGGTATGTTGAATTACATTGTGCCTCTGCTTTAAGCCGTATTTTCAAAACCACATTATTGGTGTCTGCATGAACCTCCCTTTGAGGCTATTATGCAAAAAAGAAGGCATTCTATAGGCTAAAGAAGCAGTTCATGGAATTAGAGAAAGTTGATATCCATTCCTTGTTGAGACCCGATATCATATCATAAGTGCTACTTGACTTTGTGATGGAATGCACAATTTCTATCCCCTATCGAGCTGGTCATTCCCCCTTCAAAGATTTCTTAATGGACATTATATGTTGATAAAGCTTCTGGGAATGCTAGAGCTGGCGCCATTGTTCTGATGATCTCATCCGACTGAATTTTTTTAAAGAAAATCACATCGTTGAATATAAAGCTCTCGTCATTAGATTAACACTCGTTATTGATTGCAAGGTTTGTGATATGATCATCTATACTGATTCTCAGTTAGTAATATCTCAGGTGGAAGGAGATTTTAATGTTCACAATTCTCATCTGGAATAGTATCTTGTCATGGTAAAGTTACTCATTAATAACTTTCAAATGCACCTGATAATTCATGTACGATGAGAGTAGAATTTTTGGGCTCCATGCTTGCTAGTCACTTCAACGACAAGTGATTCATACAAAAAGAGAGGTATTTTGAAAATAAACATATTTTTGGTATCCGTAGCCCTTAGGAAATGAATGAACATTTGTGTTTTTATCATATCGTCTCCTCCCTTTAAAACGAGACATTTCCTGACGACGCAAATGAAGCTCTTCAGGCTAGAAGGCAGGTAACCAATTTCACCGCCATCAATGTAGAACTTTAGAAAAGGGCATTCACTAGGGCATACCTCAAGTGCCTTTCTCCAACTAATGTTGACTATGTGTTGTGAGAAGTTCACTCCAGAATATGTTGTGAACACTTAGGAAAGAGATCCCTTGCTCTTAAGATAATGAGGTGAATATATTACTAGCCTATTATGAAACATGGTGCATTCAAATTTCATCAATAACTTTGAAAGTTGACAATTTCATTTCAGCCTCACTCACACATTGCTAGTTGAATTCAAATTTCTTCAAAGCGCATGCCTGTTTGCTCATTAAGGGATAAATCTCATGGGACATTTTCGTGACTGATCCACCTCAGAGTAACATGTTTTTAGTGTAGGTTTTATAAAATATATTATATACATTTTTTATGATTTTGCATTTTAAAGGAAGATATTTTGTATGTTTTTGGTTTCAGGTACATGAAATTGACATTTAGAGAAAATGAGAAAAAAATTAAGCAATAATGGTAATTGTTGTGTGGTGGTATAGCATCACCCCTTGGCGCCATAACGCCATCGACGGACCTGAAGGGCGCTATAGCGCCAGTAACCACCTTTCTAAAAGATACATCGAATTTGGCCGAATTTTGGAGGGGTGTTTGAAGTAACCCTTGGTTATTTTCTGTTTTTTATTTAATGAGAAGGATTTAGCCGAATTTAGAGGCCTTTTGGAGCCTCAAAACTTCAATTGGGCGGCAATAGTGAGTTAGATTTTTCATATTTTGTGTTCATGTGTGAGTGTGTTTTAGTGTGAAGAAGTTTAGATATTGCTTAGAGGAAACTCAAAAAGTTTGCTTGGTGAGAAAACACAAGGTACTTTGTATTTGTGTTTGAGTTTTTTGTTATAAGACTTGAATTTCAATGCAGATATTTTATTTTTGTTTAATCTTCATGAATTATGAGTAGTTCCATTTCTTTCTTCTTGCATATGGAATTTAATCTTGTGGGATGAGAATGATTTAAATATTTCTTTTTACTTCTGAAAGATTGTGATGGTATTTTTACTGAATCTTCATTTACTATGCAAACTATTTACAAATTGACCACTTGTAAGATAAAATCCGTTGAGAAACATAATGACCTGGGAGGGCTATGTTTTCACCCAACTAGTGGATACCACACTTCATTCTAGGCAGAGCCATGACGATCAACTAATGAGGGAACGCAAATAAATAGGGAGATAAGTTTTGATGGGCGTTGAATTGGTTAGATTTAGAGTGACAGACTAGATTTTTGTCAGTTTGGCTTAAGGTTTAGTACCTTGATGCTGGGATTCAATCATTATGATGGCATAGGCTAGGGGTATCTAGGGGTGAGAGGCTAGATAACACCGATATGGAGTCAAGATGTTAAGGAATCGATCTTAAGTTAGCTAATGTTCTTTGCAAGCACCGAGGGAGTATGCTTCTATTTGTCACAATACCTCAACTTTATCTTAAATCATTTGAATCCTACATAGATTAAAATATCTTTGCAAGAAGAAATGTTATTTTCAATAATATTCAAACTTGTTGTTATATTTTGTTAAGTTATTACATTTAGTTGTTACTTTCTTTTTAAGCTCTTTTAGTAGTGATTTTTAGTCAGCATATCATTTTAAATCTTTTATTTTTTTAAATTACAATTTAAGTAGAATTGCTGTGAGTTAATTTTAAGAGTTACCGTATTCCTCGTGGGATCGATACTGGGATTTTTAAAGAAAAACCTATATTACCTGAAACGATACGTATACTTGCTTAGTACCCACAGTGTGAAAATCTATTATATAATTTATAAATCATTACAAGTGTTGATACTAGCCGCTAGATATAAATTGAGATATATTTTTTGACATAATTAAGGAGATTAAATATACATGTAAGTGTTGGTTGGGTCAGTGACCACAGGACTACGAAAGTTTGTGTTTTTGATCATTTGTTACACTTAGAAAAGAGATCCTTTGCTCTTAAGATAATGATGTGAATATACTACTGGCCTATTATGAAACATGGTGCATTCAAATTTCATTAATAATTTTGAAAGTTGTCGGTTTCATTTCAGCCTCACTCATTCATTTCAGCCTCACTCATCAGCCTCACTCACACATTGCTAGTTGAACTTACATCTCTTCAAAGCCCATGCCCGTTTGCTCATTGAGGGATAAATATCATGGGACATTTTCGTAACTACAGGGCTACAAAAGTTTATGATTATGGTCATTGATTACTTCATCAAGTGGGTAGAGGCAGAACCCCAGTAAAAAAATACAGAAGATAATACTAAGCAATTCATTTGAAAGAATATCATTTGTTGTTTTAGCATTTTTCTTCGAATCATTGCTAAATAAGACTTAATTTACTAGAAAAGCCTTTACATTATTCAAATCATTATTCAAATCATTACTAAATAAGACTTAATTTACCAAAAAAAAGTTTTTACATCTTTATGTAAGGATCTCCACATATACTTATTGCACACAACTATAGCTCATCCTTAAATGAATGGGCAAATTGAAGTCACCAACTATGTCATCCTTAAGGGTTTAAAATTTCCCCTTCAAAAAGCTTGGGGAAATGGGTTGAGGAGCTCCTTAATGTTCTCGGGCTTACTGTACCACTACACATATTCCATCTGGGAAAACAATGTGCAAACTATGCTTCAACATGGAAGTAGCTATCCCCATAGATATAAAAATTTCAAGCCTCTAGGTTCAAAATTTCAATCTTCATGTGAATGACGAGAAAATCTGATAGAATATGGACCTTCTCCTAAAAACTCATGAAGTTGCCCTTCTCAAAGCTGCTTCATGCAATCAAAGGGTAACCCACAACTTCGATTGAAGAGTAAAACCTTGATATATCTCTATTGGAAACTTGGTCTTGTGAATTCTTAGAGCCACCAGAAAAGGACCTCGGCACACCAAACTTTCACCTCTCTAGGAGGGGATATACATGGTCACCGCCATGATCAAGTTCAAAATTTTCAAGTTGAAGGATTCATATGGAAAGACACTTCTGCAAACTTGGAATGCATATAATCTCTGTAGATACTATCAGTAATAAACACATTCATGATGCTCTAGTTGTTATTTTTGTCCATGTCTAGTCGTCACTTTGTACCCCTGTATTTGCTTTTATTTCCATTTGAAGTTTTGTGTACTTGGTATTGTATGAACATGAAGTTGTGTTTTCTTTTTACGCATCACACCATCTGAATACAATTATGATTATATTATTGAATTTTGGGATGCATTATAGACACATGTGAACAACATTTTTATTGGTGGAAATGAAATAAAAAAACAACAATAAAGAGTTATCCTCTATAAGAGTTGATGTGGCATCATTAGTATTTTGGTATTTTAGCTGATATTTAGTGGGAGGGATTCATCAAACATTAGCATTTCATAACATGGAAAATCTTCTCCAAGAAGCACAATACCGACACAAAATGGACTTCGGTGGTTGTGTTACACCAACACAAAAGAGGCATAACCACCTAAAAGAACTCTGGGGTTGCACTATACTCGGGTAAAAGAAGGTTCAATAATTGGTCAAAGGACTCAAAGGATTGTGTCACACCTATGCAAAAGGAAGCACTAAAACTAACTAAAAGAACTCTCAGGTTGTGCAACTCCAACACAGAAGGAGGCACAACCATAAGCTAAGAGACTTCAGGTTACACTCCAGTCTTAGGGAGGGAGTGTGCCTTCTCAACTCCCATTTAAGGCTTATTTTTAAGCCCAACATAAGTCATGAAAATCTAAAATCCAATTTTTAGGGGAGCATGACAGCTAGTGAATTTCACATAATTGATGGATGTCACGTACAATCCACACACATACCCCTCAATTTTGAGAGATCCCACTCGTACCCCTAGATCAACACAATCCTATGGTCTCATACCCATCTAATCAAGATTTATGAAGCGATTTGCGTGATCGAATCACTGACCCAGCTGCGACCCAACGTCGCCCTGGCTTGGTTCCACACCCTCAATATAGCTCGTGCATCCAACCTAGCCCGACCCACCATCAACCAGCTCAACCACAAACGACCCATGATACAGGCCCAACCTAGTCTAGTTGGACCCTTGCCGCAACCCCCCGACCCACCAACCTTGTCATTGAACCGCACCACAACAACGAACCCGCCTACCCACCGATTAGCGATCCCAACCCCAACATTGTCGATGTCCGTCGTTTCTCTATCTGTCATCCAAGATTGCCATCCAAATATACGTGTGAATGTACACACCACATAAAAATCATAATTTTCTGATATTTTCGGACAACAACATCAACCTTGCCCAAAATAGGGGGCAGTTGTAGTGTCATTTACTAATTTTATCATTCGAAATAAATCTTGAGGCATTTTTTGGCCCAATAATATTGTGATTCAATTTAAAAATAATTCGGAACTCTAATTTCAACAAGCTTACAGTTAACATGATCGACTCGACGAGACAAACTTTGATACCAAAATTAACCTAATCTACCAGATCAAACATTTAAATCAATTTTGGAGTTTTAGTTGGTTATTTGTGGGGTTAAATAAACTCCAAATCTGATGTGCTTATAGTTAAATCTAGCATCTCGATGAGAGGAATCTGGCGAGCTCAACTTCACCTAATTCTGATGTCGTTAAGGCCATCAAAACTGAAAAATCTCTTATGATCAAAGGGAATCAACACAGATCATTTGATTGGGTGGTTATTCACCAAAGCACGAAAAAGCCCCTCTTCAAGGACCTATAAATAGACCTCATCTCCTCACTTGGAGGGGAGGAGGAAGGAGAAGGAGGAGTAAGCTTCTAGGGTTATTATGGACTAGAAGACTTGATGATAACTTTCGACCCCGAAAGTTGTCGATTGCAACTTGTCGTTCGCTGTCAACTGCAACTCATCGGCTGCCATCGATTGCATCTTGTTGGATGCCTTCGACCACCTCCGACTATCGTTCATCTTACCGTCGTTTTTGAATTTTGCAAAGTAATGAAGTGTTCTGCAGAATAACGACGTATATTGTCGAGTAATGAAGTATCACATGAAATTATTACGCACATTACAGAGTAGCAAATTATTCTTTTGAGTGATAAAGTCTTCTGAATACAAAGTAATGTATTGTTTTAAGTACTGTGCGATGACATACCCCGACATAATGTGTCAAAAACCCGACGATAACTTACATCATCAACTGCTTTTGATCGTTGTAAAGAGAATCTTTATGTATATGAACATTTTACTTGGAGAAACCTTGTAACTGTTTTACGGTTGTGAGTTAAGGATTTTTTTTATTATTTATGAGTTTATAGTGAATTATTTTAACTGCCGAGTGGTTCTTTCTCACTCAAAATTTTTCTACGTAAAAAAATATGATGTCATCATCTCTTTAATTTATTATATGTGTGTATTAGATTTCGTACAATGCAGAGACTTCAAATTATCTCTCCACCGTTGCAAATTTTCTAGCACACAAGAATTTTAATTTAGTTCTTTGGATGAATAATAGTGTGTGAAGTTTATTATTAGGGCATCTAAATTTTTTGAAAATTAAACTTATAAGTTAGTATGCTCAAACTAGTAAGATTTATACTTTGTTTGGATGAATGTCGGATCACATTCTACCATTTCGTTAGGTCAAAATAAAGCTCCATATATTTTTGGCTACAAAACTTTTCAAAAAAAGCTTTTACAAAAATATCATTTTGTGGTAATTTTAGAACGTAATTTTTGGTTGAAATTTTTACTTTGTGAAATTGTTTATTATAAATTTACCCTTAAATAATTTATTATGACCAGAAAAAGCTCATCCAAATAAAACCTTATGTTAGAAAATTTTTTGTTTCTTTAGAAAATGGGCAAAGACAACATTAAGATTTAGTGAGTTTAGGAACTATTTTAATTCATAAAAAATATTTGATTCTTTTTAAATTAAGATGCCTAAGAATTTAGAAATTATTTTTCATTTACTTTTTAAAAACAAAATAGCAACTATCTTTTTCAATTATAACATTAATTTTTATGGACTCAACTCTGATCTTATGCAGATTTTTTTTTTCTTTTCTCTTGTTTATAGATCTGATTTTGAGTAGTCTTATTCTTCTTCTTGATGCCTGTTACTTTCTTTTTTTTGTGCTTTTGACCATTTTAGTTTTTGTTTTGTAAGTGGCTTTGTTTTTGATTTGAGGTTTATGTTGTTGTTTTAGTTTAGTTGTTTTTATTTTGTTGGTTTTTATTATTGTTCTTTTATATTGCTGCAATGACTTTCTCACTTTGGTGTTTGGAGTTTTAAATACAACCATTGAAAATATTAATAAATCATAATTTTGGATGGCATTTTGAATGTTCTTCTGCAGGTTATTCGGTGCTTTCATTCTTTGTTGAGTGATGCTTGTTTCTTTTCTTTTTTATAGTGTTTGAGTTTTTGTTTGTTAGTTATTTTGCACCCCTTCGAGTGCTATTCTTAGGTGTTCTTCTATTCCTATTTGTTGTTTGAGTGTTCTCTTTTTCTCTGAGGCTTTTTTGGAGATTGATGGGGCATTTTGTTGTTGCTGTTGGAATTGGTGTTGGTTGTTCCTGCTATGTTACAGTTGATACTTGTTGAAAGTGATTGGGTGTTTCAATGGAAATCTTATTTGTTGATTAGAGCTCTATGTGCTAGTTTCTTTCTTGTGGTTGGTTTTTTGATAGACTTGTATTTCATTCTTAATCTTTATTGATTGTTGACATTGACAACATGCATTGATGAATTTCAACTATTATTAAAATTCAACCGGATTCTGATATATTTTGATCTATTTAAATCATGCATGAAATTTTAATATTTTATCGCAGATAAGTTCTGAGCTCAAGTTAGCTATCCCTTTACTTTTATTGGTGGTTTTATATGGTCTATTTCATTGGTTTTTTTGTGGTTTAGTTTCATTGTCTTTCCAATTGTTTTTGTAGTTCTTGGATTTTGTTAGTTTATGTCTCTGATTTTTGTGCATCTCTCTTATTTGTTTTTTGAAGGCATTAAGATCTGTGGGTTTTGATGTTGATGTTGATGTTGATGTTGATTGTGTTGTTGTTGGTGGTTGATGTTGTAGTTAGTTTGTTTGATTGTGTTCTTTATTTTCTTTTTGAGTGAGTTTTAATCTTAGTTTTAATGTTATATCTCACTATTTTCTTCTCCAAAAAGCTAGGTTTGACTCTCAAATTTTTTCTTTTCAAAAAAAGCTATCTTTTTTAAAAAATTTCTTAACAAACCTCATAAAAAGGTGGTTTGCAAATAAAAATTTGTACAGGAGTTTTCGTTAAAGCGCCACTTCCTTTCGGTTACAAAAGTCGTCAGCGGAATTCCAATTTTCAACATGCGGTTCGTTCGTTCCAGTGCTGCACTCGGACTGCTGCAAATCTCACCGTTTTCCATTACCTTTTTCGTCGAAATCTTATTCCTGTTGAGAAAAATGGAGTTACAGATCTGAAGAGCTTAAGAAACTACTTTTCGTCCATCATCGCAAGTCACCTCTTCCTCTCTCTCGACTCGCAAACCCTATCGCCCTTCACGGCGATGGTTTTCGGCCAAATTCTCTCTACCCTACTCTTCGTGTCAGCGATCGGCTGTGTATTTGTTGTCCGAGCTGATCCGGAGATTTTTGATCCGACAAAAGTCATCCAACTCTCTTGGAACCCAAGGTAACAGGTTCACCATCTTCGATGGTGTCTCCCTCTTACACTCCTTGTGTTTCTGATTTGTGTTTACTGGGGCGTCTTCAGGGCGTTCTTGTATAAGGGATTCCTGTCGGACGAAGAATGCGAACACCTGATTGTTCTGGTGAGAAGAAGATTTTCTTCTTTGGCTAATGTTTTGGGTTGGGGGTGCATGTGTGGGTTTTGTGAATTAAATTGATTTTTGCGGTGCAGGCAAAGGATAAACTTGAAAAATCCATGGTTGCGGATAATGATTCAGGAAAGAGCATCAAGAGTGAGGTGCGGACGAGCTCCGGTATGTTTCTTGGAAAAAATCAGGTAAATGATTTTCCTTTCTTTTTTACAACGTATTGTTTTATATTTTTTGATGTATTTTTTGTTTCTTCAGAAATTGCTTTTGTTTTTTGCTCATCTAATTTTGATTTGCTTATTCGTTTTCAATGAATTGGATCTAGGATTGCCCTGTGGCATGCTTATGCTACGATGGAACATATGTTTCTCTATATCATATTACCTATGATATTGAAATTCTTTTTTGATTTCATTTGTGCTCTAAAGATTCCTATTTAGTTGTATCTTCTTGTTTGATGTTCATGCTTTTAGCAATTTATTCATGAACCTGAGACTCGTGATGATGATTTAGTCTATTGGGTTGCTAAAGAGACTAGTTTCTGCCTGTTTATGTGGATGAATTCTATAGAAACAGGTGGTAATGATGATATTTTCGTACTCTGCACAAGAAACGAAAAAGGAACTGAATTTGAAGTAATATTGAAAATCGTTATCCAAGATTCTTTTTGAGAAAATGCTGCCAATGTCCGGTGAGCGTGTGGAATGTAAACTATGTGGGATCCCATTTTGGGGGATTTGATCTTGTTTTGTTTGATGCATTTTCTTTCTATCTTTATTTCATAGTTTGGAATTTGTTTGTTTAGACAAATCGTCCACATTTTGCTTATACTCACCTAGCGTGAGAAAAGTTACCTTTGAAGATGGTGTGCTTATCTTACTCTTAGTAAAAGGTAGGGAAATTTACATACACACCAGTCAAGTATATTGTATTTACATATCTAATATCTAAATTTTCATATTTACATTTATAACAGTTTGTTGTCATAAACCTATGCATAAAAAGGCGTATTCACTTTTAAGAAATAACTAGCAGTGGTATTTTTTATATGATTTTAAATATTGGAGTGCTATACCTGTAAATATGAAAGTTTTGGTGTTATATTTGTAAATACATAAGAATTGTTTGTTATTATGTAAATGCCCATGCCCTTGAAATGTATTTAATTTCCATACCGATAAATTCACTCTACAAACGGTAACTAGAATAGAAAATTTAATGGTTAGTACTATGGAGAGGCTTCATCTTGTATATAACTTCTTATATCTGTTCTATTATTTAGTCATTGTTTCCATTGTTTTGCTCTGGAACTTGTTGGTTTTTTCTTTCAATAACATGTTAAGATCATCCTTGTAATCATGCTGTATTTTATATAAGGTGCATTTATAAACATGAATATGTTCCATTTTAAATTCATCCTTAAAGATTATCATATCCTTTATGTGTTCGTTTCCCCACATGGTTTGAATTGTATCCAGCTCAACTTCCCTTCTTCCTTTTCTTTGTGTCTGTGTTGAGGTCATCATTCGTTTTGTGGAAGTGATTTTGGGCATGGGCCAAGTGACATTAGTTTTGAGCAAAGTATCTTCATAAATTTAATGAGATGCTATTGTGGTACCAATGTCATCTGCTACATCTGTGTACGATATAGGAGAACATTTAAGTATGCATTTTTTGAGTCAATTATTGTTCGGTTTGGGGTATTTATTATGAGCTTTTGGTATATTAAAACTATAGTTTCTTCTAATTCTCAAACTATTTTTTATCCAGAACAGACAAGCTGTACTCATAAAGAATAGTGCTTACTGTGCTTCTACTTCAACAATTATGGTAAAGTGTTTTGAAAAAGGACTTGTGGTAAATGACTATTTATTATCATAGCCAAAGAATCTATGTTAAATCTCAATCAATATGGATTTGATTTTCATGTTTATGTGTTGAAAACTCTAAGCATGTTGAGTTGGCTATCAAAAGGACAAGCATGGTTTGGTTTTAGGATTATTTGTTTTGGTTTTGTGAGAAAAATAGTGATGTGAGGCTTCTTCTCATACACTACTGGTTGTGGTTCCCAAATCTTCCTCATGGCTACCTTTGCTCATGAATTCTCAACTATGAATTCTCTGGCTTGACTTTCTAATTGTTGTTTTTATATTCGCCTCCACCACCTTTATAAAACATAGTCTCATAGGTTTTCTATGCATTGTCGCTTCATCTACTATGCCCATGGATGTAGATGGGCCTGTCTGGATGAAACTTAACGAATAACGACACACTCCAAATAAAGCCAACTTTGGATGTAGAGGGACCCTTATGAACATTCTCGATGACTAGGACACTTGTACAGTTGTGTTTTGTGAAATGAAACATTGATAAAAAAATTTTATGTGGGCAAAAATTTCACATATGGTTTTGTTCTAACAGTTGCCTATATCTTCTAAACCGCATGACACATGCCAAATCAACCCAGATTTAGATTTAGATGAGTTCCCTTGAACCATCTCAATGAACAGGAAATGTTTTTGCAGTCGTTTGGCAAAATTAAAACTTGATAAAAAGATTTTAGGGCTTTTTACATACAAGATTTTAGGGTTTTTACATACATAACACCCAAAACTTTCATATTTACCTATCTCACATTTAAACTTTCATAATTGCAAACATCATATGAAAAGCAGCACTTATTATCACCTTTTAATAGTCAAATCCATCTTTTCATCCATATGTAAAGTGCTATGTGTGTTAAAATGAAAGTTTAGGTGTGAGGCAGGTAAATCCATTAGAATTGGGTGCTATGTATGTAATTTTCCCAAAAAAAATTACGAGGGACAAAAATTTAACGAGCAAAACTTAAAGAGCACAAAATCACATAAAAAAATCAATAAATTAATGTCCTACTTATTGATAAATCATAAAAAATGATAGAAAACCTAACGCAAGTTACAAAATTAAATTTTCGACAATGATGATGAATTGTAGTGATCATGCATTGGATGACCTATCATGACGTACTAATGCACAAATAACACATGAAGCAGATTTGATTAGTGCCTCTCAAGGACGGTGATGTTCAGGATTACAGAAGACTAAATTACATGCTCAATATCAAGTTAATAATTATTCTTAAACAGGAAAGGTTTTCTATAGAAATTCTTTAGGTCAGTATCAGAAAAACATGACCAGATCAAGTCAAGCAAATTGGGAAAAATGGTTTTAAGTTGAAAATCATAAAATTTCTATTATTAATTTAGTTTTTTAATATTTTGGTTTGATTTTTTATTATGGACCATCATCAATCAATATGTTGGAATCTTCTCTCTTTCTACCTCTTTTGATATCACTTCCAACACTTGTATAATTCTTAGATTCTCATACTAATTTTATTCTCAAAACTTTATAAAAGATTAAAGCATGGCCGCTATTGGTGTTGGTGACCAAATATACCTTATAAAGTGGAAACTGGAAAGAGAGATATACAGGTGATGATTCATGGATTTCTATTTAGGAACTGCATTTGTCGTAGCCAAGTATAAATGTATATTTGATGTGGAACTGCATTTGTCGTAGCCAAACATTAAATGTCAGGGATTGGTGGTGGTACACATCTCTATGTGATAGATTGCACGGTGCATGATCTGTGGTTCATGTTGTAGCAGCACTCTTTCAAGGAAACAAACATGCCTGAGTTAGAGCTATGCAAAATTATCCTTTTCCCCTGCTGCATTAGTCCGACCATTTTCACATAAAGTTTCTCAGCTTAGCAGATGGTTTTAGTCTGATTTATTTGCGCATTTCATCTTCCAGGATGAAATAGTTGGACGAATTGAGAGAAGGATTGCTGCTTGGACCTTCCTCCCTGAAGGCAACTTCACCTTTATTTTTCATTTCTCAGTTGCTTTCCTCTCTATACACACACCTCGTTAACAAAATATTATCTATTATCAGAAAACGGTGAGTCGATTCAGATACTACACTATGAAAATGGTGAGAAATATGAACCGCATTATGATTATTTTCATGACAAAAGCAACCAAGCTCTCGGGGGCCATCGAATCGCCACCGTTCTTATGTACCTATCTAACGTCGTCAAGGGCGGGGAAACTATTTTCCCTAACTCAAAGGTGAATATTAAATGATCACTTTTTCCTCACAAAATTATGATTATTTCTCTTACTATTTGCCTTTTTCATTCATTTTGCAGGAAAAATTGACTCAAGTGAAGGACGACACCTGGTCCAACTGCGCCAAAAATGGTTATGCAGGTCTACAATCAACTAATTAGTTCTCATTTGGTTTAATCTTTTATTAATGAAAGAAAAAGTAGTTAGGGCCATTTTCATGGATTGCAAATGTATTTACATATTTCACGCCTTAACTTTCATTTTAGCACACATACCACTCAAATTTTTAATATCACATCAATGACAATGTCATCACTTTTTAAAAGTGAAATACACTTTTTCATTGTCAGGTTTAATGCATCAAAGTGTTTTGTAAGTAAATATGAAAATTTTGGTGCGAGATATATAAATACATAAGAATTGTGTTCTACCTATGTAAATTTCCCAAAAAATTGTATCACCATATCCATGGCATTACAAAACATTTAAAATTATAAGACAAATGCTTAAAAGAAGACCGCATTTAAATAAACGCGAAAATAAAAATTATGGATTAATTTCCTTAAAAAAAATTTCAAGGAAGATTTACGTGCATATCATTCAATTCTTACCTTCAATTTTTACATATATGCCACATTATCTATATGCATGAAAGGCATATTTCACTTTTGAAAAAGTTAAAATAATGGTAATTTTTACATGATATGAAACATGCGAGTTGTTTAAATGTAAAAAAAGTAAAGCTTATCTATTATATATTCAAAATTCATAAGAATTGCGTGATATGCATATAAATACCCCCAATTTAAAATGTCTTTTTTAATTTCGAACCATTATCTCATACTTCAAATGCTCTGCAGTTAAACCCATGAAGGGCGACGCCCTACTCTTCTTCAGCCTTCACCTCGACGCGACGACGGATCCCGAAAGCCTGCACGGAAGCTGCCCGGTCATCGAGGGTGAGAAGTGGTCTGCAACAAAATGGATTCATGTGAGATCTTTTGAGAAACCTGAGAGACCAATAAGCCTCAATGGAGAATGTGCTGACCATAATGAGCTCTGCTCCAAGTGGGCTGAGCTGGGGGAATGCAATAAGAATCCACTTTATATGGTGGGCTCCCAACACTCCCAAGGCTTCTGCCGGAGGAGTTGTAATGTCTGCTAATCTTGAAGATACAATTATCTCATAATATATCCCCTGGTTGAATCAGTAAAGAGTATTCTGAGCAGGTTTTTTTCTGAACTGATTTTGAGTTCCTGCTCATTGTTGGAGGAGGGCAATGTTTTGATTTTGGGAAATTTTCATACATACCACACTACACTATTCTTATGTATTTACATATCTAACACTGATATTTGCACATATGAAAATGTGTATTTTACTTTCTAGAAGGTGTTGATGGTGGTATATTTGTTGTGTTGTTGAAGATTTGAGTTGGGTGCATGATAATATGAAAGTGTACATGCTAGACATGAAAATACACAAGGATTGTGCGGTATTTGTTAATCCTTGCGACATTTTTTTATTTTTCTTTAGGGTGAAGCAGCGTCTGTCGAGCATCTCTCGAAGTTGTTCGCAAAAATGATAGTTTTTTGCTGTTTTGGACTACGGAGGATTCTATCTGTTCTGCCAAGTCGTCTTTTTAAAAGAACTTTGTTGAAAGATGAAGTTGCTACAAACGAAACCTAAAAGTGTTTGGATGATAGCTCGAAGGACACTAATCCTAAACAAATCCCAAAGCATAGCTAGGCAATCAAACCAGTTGGTGTTACTTCTTACTTGAGAGTATTATAGGGGCTCTTTGTGGTCAATTTTGTTTTCTGAATTAGTGACACTTGAAGGAAAGAAATTGCTACAATATCAAATAATTCAATCTCTTCTAGGAGCACATGATGACTAAACATATCAATATCTAAAAAACATCAAAATTAAAGTTACAATAAATTCGCCCTTTATAAAACCTAAAAAGCTGAATTGAAAATAAAATGTTCATCATAGAAATGGACACAAGCTTTGTACTTTCTTGGCTCCATAGTTTGATAGCTCAAAAAAGCTCAAATTAGACATAAGCTTTGCACCGACTACCCTTTGGCGCAAAATGTAGGAAAACAAACGGTTTTCGCTTGACAAGAGGCTCCAGTATTGTCGTTCCATGAAGTTCTTTTGAAAGGCGTGTTGATGGAACGGAGAAGATCCTCTGTGGTCCAAAAAGACAAAAAATTATCGTTCTTGCAAATACCCCCCACACACTGCTCAATCAAACGAAAATTTTCGCAAGCTGCTTTTATTGCAACACAACGGAGGTTCAAAGTCTTTTCAAACAAAGCCTAAGAGAGAACTTGTGTGTAAGAGAGGAGAGAACTTTTATGCGGGATTTTCTCTAATACAAAGAGGCAATTATGTGGTTATGATGAAACGATAGCGGGGCTACGACAGCTATCGTTGATAGGTTATAAGTTTTTAGTCGTTAGATAAGTAAATTATACTTTTAAGGTGTGTTTGGTAGCACATTTTTAAAAGGATTTATGTTGGATTTAACATAAATCTAGCCAAACGAGTAAAATCGAGGAGTTAAATCTCATGTTCCCCTAAATCCATTTTCTTCTCTATCAAAAAGTAAATCTCTAATTTTCTTAAAACCGATCGATACATGGATTTAATAGATTTAAGTAGAACGGTGTCGTCGCACATGAAGAAGAGATGTGACCACCACATTGAAAACAAACTTAACTACTTTTAACTTAAATTATACCAAATATTTTTCTGGATTTACATATAGATTTGATAAATATGGATTCATATGATTTATTAAATCTTACTTGGCTTGAATCTTCCTGCAACCAAACACCTCATCATATTTAACACGTCAAATAATAAAAATTTAGTGGTATGCATTTTAAATCATTCTTTCTTATATTAAAAAATAAATTAAAATATAAAAGTAAGAAAAAAATAATTGATTTTTTATTTTTGTATGAAAGATATATTTTTCATCTTTAAAATTAAAATAATAATATTTTTAAGTGATGCGGTATAAATATAAAAATAAAAAATAAAAAATAAAGTTAAGGTGTATATAAATACAAAAGAATTGGGTGGTATACGTACAATATATGTAAATGCCCATATGGAAAATGGAGAAAAATTTGTATATATAAGACGCACACAACGTTGCGTATATCAGAGATGTTATTCAGAGGGTATTGAGAAGTTATATCCACGTTATACCTATAGCTTCCAGTAAATTTTGTATTTCTATTTTCATATATATCTAAGTTATAAAGAGATTAGAGGGTGTAAAACAGCCCCAATAAACTCAGAACCTTCAGGTAAATCAAATTTTTGTTAGTGAGGCCTCATCCGAGCACCATAAGCTGCTCCGGCTTTACCGAACGCGAGGATTGAGGCACGGGCGCTAATGGCTTCTGCTTCCGTCGATCCTCCGCTTCATAGGCTCCCTCTTCGTCTCGGCCTTCATTCTTTCAAATCACCAACCAACATTGTGCTTCCTTCATTTCCCTTCTCTTCTACTAGATGCCGAGCCTCTCTTGTCGTAGTCTCCTCTAGCAGAATCAGTGAGTTCACTCAATCCCTCCGCTTTTTCTACGTTATCCGGTCTACGTAATCCGGTCTGACATTTTCTCAGATTCTAAGAGGTCTCCCGCCAGCGAGGAGAAGAAGTTGACGCTTGAGAAGTACGGACTTGACCCCAATGATTTCATCTCGCAACCGGATCCAAGGGTTCGGATTCCATGTTTTGATCGATTTGTGTTGATTTTAGTTCCCTTTTTTCTCTGTTGAGAAAGATTGATGAATAGACTGGTGATGATTTCAGTATGGGAGGAGGGGAACGGATGAGGGGAGGGGAAAGTCGTCGGAGGTCTCGCCTCGCACCACTCATAAATTACTTCAGGTTTTTTTTTTCTCTCTCTCTCTTCTGTTTACTTCTTTAGTTTTAGTCTTTGTTGGGTGAGATTTTGCTTTCACTTTACTGAAAAAATATTAAGTCATGACTCGGAATTGAAACAGTCCTTGTTGAATATTCCACCAGTGTTATTTGTGGAAAATGAAGTGTTATCAGAATATTTCCCCGCGTTACTTGATTTGAGGTTGTGTTATTCCAATAATAACATTGTGAAAATTGAAATAACACGGGGAATATGTCGAATAACATAACCCCAAATCAAGTAGCGTCGGTGAATATTTCAATAACACCTCAAAGTAATCGAATAACACCACATATTACTCGAATAACACTTCATTTTTTTACAAATAACACTGATGTAATATTCTTGTAACATTGCGGGTTATTCCAATAACATAGCTACTATTAGAATCCGAACGTACCTCTACGTTCGAAGTCCTGACGTATTATGCGCTCCACTTTACTTAGCTTGTTTTGCATTTTCAAATGTCATTGGATTGAATGCTCTGAGGAGAGAACAAAGACATGAAAAAGGAGGAAATAAGGGCGGGAAAGTGCATTATGTGAACGATAAACACATTTGGCAGTTTACATAAGACACGACTCTTTGTTTTTATGTGATATTTAGAGCTATTTTTAGGTAGAAGATGCTTAATAAGATGTGTTTATGAGTAAATGCCGTAAGGGCAAGGAAGAAAAAACTAAGGTTAACATGAACAGAAAGCGTGAAAAAAAATGTGTTAAAATTTGTGAAAAACTTCTTTAGCACCCAAAAATAACTCAACAAAAAATAATGGAGAATTTGGATTCGTAAAGCCAAACCAAAATAGTTTGGATAAGAATTTTGGTGATGATAAAACTTGTGACCTCATATCACAATGGCGATAACCTAATGATTGCTCCAAGGACATCCTCAAACATGTCTTTTGGATAAAACCTAATTAAACTTGATTTTTCACTTTTTGTTTTATGGTGCATTAGGCTCAAAATTTCTAGCTATCTAAGCCATACAAATCTTTCTTTTCAATTCTTTGTGTCACGATCTGACTCGGTGCTTAAAATTGACTAAGACGGAAATAATTGTCGGACAGTGTTAACATCTAACTATGCACATTTTTTAAAACTTCTAATATATATAAAAGAGTCGTTAATCCACAAAGTCCAATAATTTTTAAAACATTGAGAAACAATAATATACAAAAATAACATCTCAAGCCAATATTGAACAGTATATCAATGTCTGAAAGAAACAGTAAAGAGAAACTATTCTTATAAGAAATATACTTTAGCAATAGTAATCATCCTCTGATAAACAAAATCACTTCTGTCGGACATATCCCTTAAAGTTTTTTTCTCCTATAAGAAAACATTAACTGCAACTGTAAGTATAACTTAGTGAGTAATGTAATCTACTATGCATTAAAATTTATATGCTATGTTATGCTATGCATGAATGACCAAAAGGAAAATGCTGTAAATTTCATTAAAATTTTAACTTTAGTCATTCTTATTTCACTTCAAGTAATTAACGTTTTTAACATTTTTAAAAGTCGCAATAAGATTACCGTTATACCCGAACGTATCCTAAAAAATGTGCCCAAAGGCATTCTCAAAATGTGTCCAAAGACACTCTAAAAAATGTACCAGAAGGTACTCTCAAATTTGCATATGAAAATGCATCTTTACCATTTTCTTTAACGTATACAAATACATTGTTTCCTCTGTCTGTATCATCTAGGGGTAATCCTGTATGACTTAAACCTTTAACTTTTATTTCCTTTCATTTGTATTATTTCATTTTGAAAACATTAAGCATTCTTCTTTTCTTTCCTCTTTCATTTTCTTTTATTCTTAAGCTACAACATGTATACAAACATAAAATAATTGTATAAAGTATTAAAGGAATTCTTTTTTTAATAAATTTTTAAATTAATACATATAGAAAATAATTACTCACCTTGCCTTTGAAGACCCCGAGTAATTTTACCCTTCACTTCGTTTCTTAGTACCTAAACCAATTAAATGTGCTTATAACTAAGAATTACATCCTAAAAAAATTATTATTTAAATTCACAAAGAAGGTATTGAAATGCTAACATCTTTTAGCTTTAGGCTTCTTTATGTTCCTCAAATCCCAAAGGTATATCAAAAGTTTTCACACCTACCAATTTAAATAGTTTAATAACATTAATTAATTTAATTAATTACATCATTAATTCCAATAATAAAAAAAATAAGGTTTACATTTATCTTACAAACTTTTTGGTCGATCTTCTTCTTTACTTGTTTTGCAAACTTTTTCTTTAAATTTGAAATTACCATTGTTGAAGTCTTGATATCAATAAAACTATTCATTGATAGTATCCTTAAACATAGCCACACATTTATTTAATTATTCATAAATAGATGAATGTCGTACTAAACTATTGCCATCGTCGAGATTAAAACACAATTTTGATACCACTTGTTATAACTTGATATTGAATCAATGCAATGCAACAAATAATAAAATAAGCAAAAGAAAAATACACAAATTTTACGTGGAAACCCCAAGATGGCAAAAACCACGAACAGAGGAAGAAAATTCACTATATCAAATCAGAAATTACAATTGGAGAGCTTTCACAAACATAAAATCAAAGCAGGGAAAAATGAGTGTCTTGTATAAAACAAAATAAGGTAATTTATAGTCTTTAGCAAGACCTATTTAAAGGAAATAATTAAAAGATGTAATGAAACAACAACACGGATTACAATCTAAAGGCTATTATAAGATTGATCAAGCGGCCGAAGCCTTCAAGTTGCATGCTTTTGATTTCCATCTAAAGCCTCAATAAGCGTGCTCACAATTTTCCTCTAAAGCTTTAATCTGGGTGCTCATAATTTTCTTATAAGATGACGAGAGACTCACAAAATTTAATCTGGGTGCTCATAATTTTCTTATAAGATGACAAGAGAGACTCACAAAATTTGTGTAAATAATCTATCAGATATCTTTACTTTTAAGTAAATCTAAATCTTAAGAGTGAATAAAACAGGCCTACCTTATATGCTTTCCCAAAAGCAAAAAATTACCATAAATTTGTAGTTGTTTATCAACAAAATGTTGCAGTTTATTTATTTATTGATGTTATTGATGTTTTTAATTTTTAGGCTTAAAGGTCAAGTTGTATTGGAGCAGGTGCTTGGTGGAAAAGCTCGGCGGAAAAAATTACTTTCACCTAAAGGAATGGATGTACGTCCCATGATGGAGGTTGTAAGGGGAGCCGCTTTTGACATCTTGCAGGTATATTTTGCAGCTTTCAACATTCATCTTTTGTTTACAATCTATGGAATGTCATGCTTGTTTTCTTATTAGTACGGCAATGCAAATTTGAGTAATTTATTCGACATGTAGGTTTATTAGCTTGTGATAATTTAGTTTTCCAGCAGTTGGACAATGCCACAAAATTTGTATGCTTGTGATAATTTACTTTTTTTTTTCTATTTCCATTCTGTCCTCATTGCTTTTATTTTACACCCATTTTCCTCCAATCAAATTGGCGTTTGATGAGATCTAGAAAATTATCACATAGGCCATAATTTTTTTTGTTTTGGAAGCTTATGATAGGATTTTAATTCCAAATAGGTAGCTGGTGGCTGTCCTGCTTCTTTAAGACCAGGTCGATGGCTAGACTTGTATAGTGGTACCGGATCTGTTGGAATTGAAGCAATAAGTCGAGGATGCTTAGAGGTATGCACTACAATTTTTTGGATCGTAATGCTGTTAAAATAATGCTTATGTGATGCTGCCTTCTTTTGAACCATTTTCCTTTATGATATAAATAAAAAATATAAACGTCTATTTTATGAGGTGTCTAGTTTTATATTGTCTGCGGTGATTTATTTGGGACCTTAGTAGTACTTTCTTCTAGGTTCCTTTCTAGGCTAAATGGTACATTGTGAAATTGCCTGATGAGGGTGTTGTGATTAACTTGCATAATGTTATGGCTAGTTAATGGGTTCTATGCGAATTGGTTTGTAATTCTTCCAGAAATTATTTAGAATTGAGTTATTTTTAGTTGCCTGATTATTGTACTCATTGAGTCTTCTCTCTATGGAATGATTAAATTTGGTTTTGTTTAAACCACAACTTTATCTGCTTGACTTCATGTTATTAACATTTATATATTTGTTGAGTGATAATGAAGGGCATGTAAAACACATGTGGATTAGCCTATTCATAATGGAAGATGCCTGCATATTAACATATTTTAAACAGGAAGCAACAAAGAATGCCGACTCCCTTAAAGAAACGAAAATTATTTGGGATTAGATCTGCAAAAAATATAGGAGGTTGAATTATGAACGAAAAGGGTATGTATGATGAGTGAGCTGTGAGAGGTCAATGCAACTATGCAAGAGGATTCATGACAAATCATACAGGAGATTTGCGAAGGAGTAAAGCTTGACAGACTTTGGAGATGGGGAAATGGCGCCACAAATGAGATGGGCTGGGAGACGGTTAGAAAAATTAACAGAAGTGGCATTAGTAGGGTTGTAAACGAGTTGAGCTTGAGCGAGCTCAGGCTTGGCTTTGGTTTTGCTCATTTGAAATTAATTATGTTCGAAACTGGCCCGTATTTGAAATTGCTTGTAAACATTGTGTTTGTATTTGACTCGATTTACATATTCTTATTTTTATTTGGATCGAAATTGGCTCGTTTAAATTAATTAGAAAGGATGTAGGGCATTGGATACGAACATGGATTATTCCTATGCAATAAAAGACGCAGAATCACAGGATCACACTAGCTTTGGTGATTTAAACTTATATATAAATATAACTAATATAATATTATATAAATAATACATATAATTTTCTTTTTTTGAGCTAAAACGAGTCGAACATTATCGAAGGTTGTTTGTGTTTGACAATTTATAATTCTAGTTTAGAGGATTAAAGGTGTGGGATTAATAAATATTGAGCTGAAAATGTTTTTGAAATAAAAACAATAATATGTGATTAAAATAATCACGAGCAATATCAATATGTAAGAATTTAATGTCATGATTGAATTGATTCTTTATTATGACATGGAATATAGGAAATATAGTGGGAACATTATTTAAATAAATAAATAAATATACTTATCTGATGGTGGATGCTTTCCTCTTCATGTTCCTCTCATTTGATTTCCCTTGTAATTCGAGCATGAAATCTCCAGTCAACCTTTGGTTAGGATTTGTAAATTGAGCCACTGATAGGGTCTTGGATTGCATCTCAATAAGTTTCCTCATCATTTCCTCCAATCTCTCGAATTGGTTTTCCATGGAAGATGATTTATTGTTTATGGAGGAAAAACTCCCTTTTATGGTGAAGAACCTTTCTTTTATCCTTGATTTAAGTTGCTTCCATCTTCTCCAAATCATATATTTTCTTGGCTGTCATTTCTTCTTGTCGTTTTTTATGCCTGTATGTTGCAATCTCGTAATTGGTTTGAATCGAGACTTTTTCTTGGTTCGATCGCAGTCAGCTTATTTGAATTGCTACTTTTTTATGATTATGGAAAGCTGCAATATTCCCACCCTGCTTGTGGAAAAATCAGCTTTATTCTCGATGATTCCATGTACCACATGATCTTACGTCCGGATCCGACAATTGCTTCCACTAGGCCGCGAGTTGAATCGCGAATGTCTTCAAATTTCCAACTAGGTCAAAGGCCTGATCTGTTCAGTTCCCGGGTTGAACGCTTTGATACCACTTTGATTTTATTTGACATATAAATTGGCTCGATTTTCCACATACATTAGGGCAAAGCAAATATTTTTATTTAATAATTCAAAACAACACAAATACAAAGATAAACACCTGCAATTCGAGAGGCAGACGATTTCTCCCAATTCTTACAAGTCAAGAAGTAAGAAATCTCTCCCAAACTGTAAATTTAATACTTACTAACAATAATCACATGCATACTAACCCTAAACCTATTAGGGTCTATTTATACCAAACAATAATAAATAACAAAACAGTAAATTGCTCATAGGCACACAAAAGATAAAATTTCTTTTAGGTTATGCACCGGCCTGACAATACTCTCCCCACCTAAAATACACCTTGCTCTCAAGGTGAAAAAAAAGGTAGGCCGCTACTGCATCAAGTCAGGTGGCTTCCACATGGCGCCTTTATTTGGCCAGTATTTCTATTTAATAAAAAATTTGGAGTGACCTGTAGGAGTTCACAATGTAGTAAAAATTTGGAGTGACCTGTAGGAGTTCACAATGTAGGCTTGTACACAACCTTCAGCCTGCTCTATCTTCAAAGCAATCTTGGAGGACACCACAGTTCCAAACAACTCATCCAATAGCTCATCGATCAACGGGATGAAAAAATTGTGAAGTACTGTTTCTTGATTCACGGCTTGATAATCCACATAGAAACACCAACTCTATCCATCTTTTTCATTAGCAAGACTAGGGTATAGAAGGACCTCGCACAATGCTCTATGATCGCGACCTCCTTTATTACCGCTGAATCTCCTTTTGCCTAAAAATTTAGTCGCCGCAAAGGGTACACACGCGTTTGGAAGCAACTAACCCTTGGGTCCCACACACCATGTTTATTGTTCTAGGCTGAAATTCTTTGAAGCGATCTTTTCCGGCCCCGAATTTCTCTTCGTCCCGTTCTACTATTTGTTTCTCATTCCTAGCCTCCAAATGTCTTGCAATTTTCTTCCAATTTGCCGCTCGAATCCTCTTCCGATTCTTGCATTTAGTTTCACCCTATTCAATTCATCCCATATATTCGGAGGTAGCATTATCCCTTCCAAGTGCTCCTCCCAACCCTTTGCATAACCTCTCCATGTTTTGGCCCAACTCCCTCCATAATAAAGTTTTAATTCACCCTCTAGTGGACTCCTAGGGGACAGTTCTTGATGGTGGATGCTTTTCACCTCATGTTCCTCACGTTCGATCTCTTTTTCTTTCTATCTGGACACAGAATCTCAGATCAACCTTTCGTTAGGATTTGCAAATTGAGACCTCGACATAGTCTTGGATTGCATCTTAATAAACTTCTTTATCATCTCCTTCAAGTTTCCGAATCAGTTTTTCATGGAAGAAAACCTATCGTCGATGGAGGAAAACATTTCTTCTTTAGTGGAGAATCTTTCCTCTATCCAAGTTTTAAGTTGGCTCATCCGTTCCTCCAGTTTCTTCTCCAAATCATATAATTTTTTGGTTGTCATTCCTTTCAGCCGTTTCCGAAGCGTGTATGCCACGATCCCGTATTTGGTTTGAATCGAGACTATTTTTCTTAGTTCGATCGAAGTCAGCTGACTCGAATTGTGATTTTTCTATGATTAGGCAAGCCGCAATGTTCCCACCTAACTCGTGGAATTGTTGGCTCGAATCTTAATGCTTCCCAACAAGCTTAACTTGTCGGTCTCCACAAGAGACGAAAGATTTGTCATTGCCTTCCCAGCAAGCACGCGAGTTTTGGGCTCTGTACGCTGAGATCTTCAAAATAGAGCGGGATGAGGCTAAAGATGGGAGTTACAGGTCTCTGTACGCGACGAGTCTATTGGTCTTCATAGGTGCAGGAGATGGAAGATGCGATCCCATTGTCATCTTCCCAACGAGCTTAACTCGCGATGTATAGGCACATCCGTCGACCCCTCCATGCGTGGTTCTTATGTGTCACATTCCAGTTAACTTTCCATGTATTCAACGATCTGACCGTTGCTTCTCCTAGGTCGTGGGTCGAATTGCGACTCTCATTGACTTTTCAACTAGATCGAAGCACTATCCGTTTGATTCTCAAGTCGAACGCTCTGACGCTACTTTGGTATGATTCGACTTAGAGATTGGCATGATTTTTGATAAAAATTAGGGCTAAGCCAATATTTTTATTTAATATTCAAAACAACATAAATACAAAGAGAAACACCTACACTTCAAGACTTAGGCGATAATTAGAGAGGTAAGAAATCTCTCCCAAACTCTAAACCTAAGATTCACAGAAAATAATTATATGCATACTGACCCTAAACCTATTAGGGTCTATTTATACTAACAATAATAAATAATAAAAGACAAAATTGCTCTTAGGTTAGGTCCCGGCGTAACATACGGCTTGTTAGCGTTGGCCAAGCTTTATTAACCATGAAGCTTCTTCAACTTGAGCATGACGGTTTCAATGTGAAATAATTAGTATTCTAATATGCTACGTGCCTTGTAGTATTTTAACTTCCATGTTTTTTTTTCTTTTTTTAATTTTTTCAGGCACACTTTGTTGAGATGGATCCTTGGGTTGTCTCTAAAGTCTTGAGACCAAATTTAGAATGGACCGGGTTCCTTGATGTTTCAGTCATTCATACACTACGGGTAGAAAAATTCCTAGAGCTCACTGAATTGTCTTTAGGTAATTTTTTTAGAAAGATTTAATACATACCACTCGGTTCTTAAGTATCTACATATCTAACACCTAAACTTCAATTTTCACATACACCCTACCTATGCATGAAAAGGTGTATTTCACTCTTTAAAGGTTAAAGTGGTGATATTTTGATGTGATATGAAAGATTTGGGTGGTTTGAATGTAAAAATTAAAGTTTAAGTGTTAGATATGTATTCGTGTTTAAGTATCTACAATCCACAGGAATTGGTTGCTATGTATGTTGATGCCCCTTTTTTAATCGTACCAACAAATAATTAATATATGTATTATGTTGTGTTTGTATAGACAGCTTTACATGCAGATCACATCGGTTATTTTGCTTCATGCATCAGTTTTTTATAACAGTTAAACACGAATCGTTGGCTCCCTTGAGTTTTTTCTGCTTTACATACTACTTGCCTTGATAAGTTTGCTTTTGAGAAATAGAGGCATAAGGGAGAGTGTGTTAGTGATAGTTTCGTTGATTGATTGGTGGCTTCAAATATATTAGGATAATGCCACGACATGTGGCAAAAATGGCTGCCTGGCTGCTTAGGACCGATTGGGATCATTTTTACTTTTTATTTTTCATTTTTTTTAATTTTATTTTGTTTATAGTTTGATTTAAATTAAAACATGTTTAGTTGAGGTCCTTGTTTTTTGAGTGTTTTTAAACACAAGTTGATTTGTTTTAAAGACAACAAATAAAAACATAGAAAAGTTAATATTAATCAAACATGTTTTTAAAAATAAAAGCAAAAATAAAAACAAAAATAGAAAATAAAAATGATGCCAATGGACCCTCATAGTTACACTGGTATTTAGTATGCATTTTTGTTAAAATGTTCAATAATATAAGTTCTAGTAAGCTGAAAAGCGTAATTTTACATTTGCTTGGTTTTTTTTTTTTTTTTTTTTTGGATAAGAAGGGAATTTTTTTTTAGAAACTTTATCTTAATTTCTTCATTTATTCTTTTGATTATTCTTTTTATTCTTGCAGGTAAAGGTGTACCATTTGACTATATTAGTGTTACTCCACCTTATACTGCAGTCAATTATAGTACTTTAATGGAAAAACTTGCGGAGTCTCCCTTTGTTGGGGAAGACTGCTTTATTGTAAGTAATGTATCTTCAAGCTAAAGCACGTCCAACTATTTATACAATTTTCATTGGATGACCAGTAATATGCTTTCTCTGCATTTTCTAGCTGGTGGAATATCCACTTAAAACTTCAATGGAAGAGTCTTGTGGACATCTTGTAAAGGTGCTGATCTCCTATATTCTCATCATCTTGTTCAATTATTTAAGAAAATAAATAAAAATGATATATTAATGAACATTTTAAGGTTTATAGATTGGCATCTGCTTTCTACTTATTGTTTTGAAATAAAAATGATATATTAATGAACATTTTAAGGTTGTCTATAGATTGGCATCTGCTTTCTACTTATTGTTTTTTTTACAAAAAATTCATGGGTAAGCTTGTTTTTGTCAACTAAAAGAGTATATAGACATGAATTAAAATCAAACATATTTTGTTCTAGTAAAACCAGAAAAAGTACAAAGCAAAAAGAACGATGTACTTCTAAACGTAACCAAACTTTACATTTTGTGATTCTAATTTATAATGGCAATTGAGCTATGGTATGCTTTCAAATAATGTCGAAGAGCTGTGTTTATGTTTTTGGCAATCAAGTGATTGAAAAGTCAAGGCACATCAACCTAATGAGGGCAGGCAGGTAATGGCCATTTCTTGGTTGGATTATCCTTTGTTGTGGTTTTTCTAAATGGTATTGGTTGCATAGGAAATGAATAATCGAAATCAAGTCAATTTGGCTAATTAATTAATTTATAAATATATGCAAAGTGATTATCTTCAATTTTTCTGGGTAGCATTGTTTAAACAAAATAAAAAAAAAGAGTCCACCTTACAAACTATTTCATGGTTAGACGTGGCTATTGTTGTTGGACTTAGTTTTGGGAATGTGGTCCTTCTATCCTCTTTGAGTTGACTGAGTGACTTAGGGTTGTTTGGTAGGTTTTCTAGCTGCTTTGTTTTTAGATCGTCACAGCAATTATGTCTGACTATTGCTATCTTGTTTTCTTGAATATCTGTGGTGGGAAGCTACTTTGTGTAAATAAATTTGTTAAATGTGGTAGTTCAAGACGGTTCAAATTATGAAAAATGGTTGTTTGGTGAAAGGCTTTGCTTCTTTGCTCTCTTGGGATCATAGGTTTCTCTGACGTGCCTTCATTTTTGTTTAGAAAGTCTCTAAGAGAACCAAAAACAAAAAATGAAGGGGACATAAAAAAGTCCTACGATCCCAAGGTAGTTGTTAGAAAGTTATTGTCTGACTGCTTTAAAAAATAAATATTTATAATACCCACAACAGCTTCTCAAAAAGTTGTTTTCCCCACAGTAGCTTTACAACTACATTTACGAAAGTTTGCAGCCACCCCACATATACTCTTAGCAGTGTGTCCACAGCTTTGGTGAAAGTTGTAATATTTATCATGATTTCTAATATTAGGCATTAACAAACAACGCCATTTGATAATTTTCTTGTTCTGAATGAACATAAAAATAAGGTAGTTGTAAGAAAGTTGTTTAATTCTTCAAAACAGTTTTGGGGCATTTACAGACATACCACCCAATTCCTCTGTATTTTCATTTCTAAAACCTAAACTTTACTTTTTACATCTATACCACCCAATTCTTTTATATCACATAAAGAATATTACCACTTTAACCTTTAAAAGGTGAAATATATCTTTTCGTGCATAGGTAAGGTAGCATGTATGTAAAAATTGAAGTTGGGTGCCAGATATGTAAATACATGAAAATTGAGTGGTATGTAAATAAATCTTCCAACAGTTTTTACATCAGCAACCGTGTTTACAAAGCTTTTCTATTTCATTAATGATTATGACAGTATTAATCAATCCAATCCATCATAATCAATTTGTTTAATGCAGATAGCTGATAGGCGATTCGGACGGACCAACTTATTAATATACGGACCCAGCTGGGCGCTAAAGAAAAGAAAGTGAGACAGACTTGTGCTGGTTTCGGAAGGTTTTTGCCTGAGTTTCCAGTGGTTCTGTAACTTTCAACGGTCAGTTTCTTCACCTGGAGCCTCAAGTTCTACTGATTTATGAAGAAATACGAGCAATTTTAATGACTTATCTATATCCCTTTATTGCAAATCTCAGTTTTATTGTCCATATTTATCACCATCATTGCACCCTGTCAAGATTTTTTTAAAAAAAAAATACATAAAATGAATGTAAGTCCTACTTGAATAAACTTAACTCCATTCAGTCATATTCTGTTGAAATAATATTTATATTGTTGGAGATTAGATAATATATTCATTGCAATTATTACAAAATTTTCCTATCATCATGATGCTCCATATTATAGCTTTGTAATATCCATTTTCTTACAGGCCTGCATGCAAAACTTGCAATTTTGAATGGAACATTCATCTTGTAGTGCTCTATTATACTGCAATTACTTGTACTCAATGAATTGGTTACTTTTCAGCCGAATATCTTTCAGAATTTATTTAAACATTATAAATTATTTATTAATTTTAAAGGTGTGGAAATGTCACAAATGCAATAAATTCGGTTTTTGGGATTGCACTTTTTCTATTTTTTATTTTTTTTATTTTTTGACATTTTGAGAGCAATTGGCTTCCCATATTTTTCTGAAAGATTTAGATAAACTGTCAAGTTCGTTCATTAAAATTTTTTGTTTGTTACATATATTATTATTTTCAATTACTACAACTAAACCTTGTATGACTTTAGATTTATTTTCAGTAACAAGCTTTAAAAATAGTAAACAATGTTGACCGTGCGGTATAATTGAGGGATGTTCAAAGTTATATATATATATCTATCTCTGTGTGTGTGTGTGTGTGTGTGTCGTGTTCCTCGACTTTTTTGTTGGCATCTGCTATATTAGTTCTAAGTCCCTTGGGGTCATGGGTTTGATCCCGTTGGTGTGCGGATCAGACGAGTGGTTAGGTACATAAGATTGACTGGGGGTTCGTATCATAGCATCTGGCCAATCATAATATATATGCATGTATGGTTCAAAATTTAGACAATTAATAGAAAAATTAAATGATGGAATTTAAATACGGATCATAAAAGCAAACACAACAACATAGCCAAAATGATTTGACCCTCAATCTATTCAAAGCTATACATTGTAAAATTTTATTTAAATAGAATAAACTCAAGTCTTTAGATTAGAAATTAATGATTATTAATGATTCAAAATATGGACCGGAAGGTTCAATAAAATCAGGCCTGGTTCATCGGTTGAACCATCGACTCTTTCCGATTTGCATCGGTTCAATGCAAAATTGATCCTACACACTAACTAGGGCCATTGCACTGACTCATGATTGAACCGGTTGGACCAGCCGCTAGAGTCTAATTTTTAACTCTTTTATATATATACAATATTTGTTTTTGGAACATGGCAAAATAATTATAAAAAAATCATTGAAATTTGCATTTTATTTTTGCATATATGCATGCATCTCTAAGGTCCAAAACAACAGCTTTGTATTAGAAACCCCTAAATCTAGATGCGTCCAACATTGTTTTTTAGAGCTATGAATAGGGCAATATAACATTTTTATTTTGGGAAATTTACATACATACCTCCCAATTCTTATGTATTTAAATATCTAACATCTAAAGTTTGATATTTATATTTTTAACAATGTCCTTTTAAAATATGCATGGTAATATGTAATTTTTTTTAAAAGTTAGTAATAGTGGTACTTTTGATCTAATGTTAAAGATTTGAGTAGCATGCATGTAAATATGTAAGTTTGAGTGTTGGTTATGTACATATATAAGAATATATATATATATATATATATATATA